AGCCCGCTGCGCAAGAGGCGCCCCAGAGCTGCCTCACGGACGGCAGCATACACGATGGCGAGTTCTCCTTCGACGAGCAAAGCCCCACGGGCACCAGGTTCACCATGCGCGTCTGGGGCTCCCGTAACGTCGCTGAGCGTAAGGTCAACCAAGTGTCGGGTGCTATCAAAACTTCGGGTGCTGCTGTCATCCATGCGACCTGGAGGCAATTCCGCAGACAATGTATCTCCGACGGTCCCGTCAACCTCTTCGTGAACCCTGACAAGAATTCCGCCCTTATGCGTAAATAGTTGGGCTGCAAAAAGGTCAAAGTTGCCCTCTTCGCCGAGTTTCCCCAGCAGCGTTTCTTCATCGACCGCTTCATAGACGAGGTCCTGGCCGGGTGGAAGCCGCTTGTCAAGATCACCCCTTTCGACGGCCAGGACGACCCCGAGCCTCGCTGGGCCAACGACGACCTCATCTCCGAGAACATGGATCCACGTCGCGTGCGCCAGTGGCCGGGGTCGCGCGGAGCTCCTAGCAGCCCGGGTGGCACGGACAGAAGCTGAAGGGCGTCTGTCTGAGGGACGCAATCTTGCTTTGCAAGAGGCGCACGGTGATTGAGTGCGATGTCAGGGCTCTCCTCCGCTCCCTCCGCCTCCCTTTTCAGGCTTCTTCGTCTTTCCATGGTAATTTCACAACTAGTGGCATGATCACCATTTTCCGTCTGTTTGTCCTTACCGAGTGCCGCAGAGACTTGCACGACGGCGCCATTCCCCTCGTCTCTTCCCTCCCCATGATCCCTGGCCGCGTACTTCTGACCAAGATAGGGGCTGGGAATGGGCGGTGCTGGGCATGGCATCTAAACTTTCACAACCGCGACCTCTCGCCCGCCGACGAGGCGAACCTTGTCAGCGAGATCCCAGGAGGACCCGCTAGATATATTCTTACCGCAGGGGATTTGAACCTCTCATCCCATGAACCCCTCCCCTCAACCCCCACGACGGTGATTTCACTGCGTTTACTGGCCCCCACCCTCGCCCCCCCCCCCCAAGACTGGAGCGAAGCCCATGATTTCGCGGTTGAGTTGGAGTTGCTCTCCACCACGCATTTCAACAGCCAGGGCTCGACATCAGGACTCCTGGAGCGTATCTTTACGTGGCTGCGTGGCTGGATCTTCTCGCAGATCGCTCCGGGCGATGAGCGCCCAGAGGCCTTTGATGCTGCTGGCATCTTGGAACATACCCTTGCGGTCGCCCATATCCACGTTCGGCCTGCCCTGCATCCAGGAGAGCGCCCGATCTCGAAAGAGGCGTTTGCTCCCGTCCCTTTCGTGAAACAGCAGATCCTGGCGTCGCTGCTCACTGGCAGTTCGCAGACGGACTGAAGGAACAATCCATTTGGCTCGCGCATTGCGCGTCTCTGTCCCGCCCGCGCGATCTCCGCAGTTTCTTGCGCCACGGCGAGCCAGACAGATGGAAGGTGGGCCCCTGGAGGCTATCGCTGCCGCGGTCGACGAATCCTTCCCCAAGAAGATCGAAGCCACAAGCCGGGCCTGTGCGAAAGCACGCGCCGCTATGAACTGGCCACCGCGGCCCCGCTGAACATGGAGCCGTGCGTCCTGCGGCGCAAGCCTTCGCGATCGTGGGCGCTGCTCAGCCTGTTGCGCCCATGTTTTCGCGACCACGCTGCTGCTCAGCCCGTCGCGCCCATTCGTTCGCGGTCACGGTGCTGCTCTGCTCAGCCTGTGCCGTAGCAGACGGCGCTCGCGCCATTCCGCTCGGACGGCAGAAGCGTTCTCCAGCGCATTCGAAAATACGTTCTGCTCATCACGCACATTTTCCTCCTCCTCATCCTCTTCCTCCTCCTCCTCTTCCTCCTCCTCCTCCTCATCTTCCTCATCCTCCTCCTCTCCTCTCTCCTCCGCCTCCCTCTCCCTCTCCTCCTCTTCCTCCTCCTCCTCCTCCTCCTCCTCCTCCTCCCTCCTCCTCCCTCTCCCTCCTCCTCCTCCTCCTCCTCTCCTCTCTCCTCCTCCTCCCTCTCCCTCTCCTCCTCCTCCTCCTCCTCCTCCTCCTCCTCATCTTCCTCCTCCTCCTCCTCCTCCTCCTCGCCGCCCCCTTCCCAGCAGCAGCGACAGCAACAGCAGGATCAGCACCGACACCACCCAGCACCCAGGGCTCCATCATCGTCGTCGTCATCATCGTCGCCATCATCACCACCAAGACCATTATCATCGTCATCATCGTCAACATCATCAGCACCAAGGGCCCCATCGTCATCGTCGTCATCATCATCATCATCGTCATCACCATCATCGTCAGCATCGGCGGTACCACTCACGTCATCGGTAGCTGTGGGGCATGATGGGGTCCAGCCCCCGCCCCCGTATCGTGACCCACCGCCTCCCTCCCCATCCACCCGCTGTTTCCCCCCTTGGGAGCCGCCCCCCCCCCCCCAATCGTTGCCCCTCACCTCCCTCCCCTTCCCTCCGCCCCTGCCCCTCCCCCCCCCCGTGAGCCAGCAACCCCTCCACCCTCCCTCCCTTCCCTCCCCTCCCCTACCTCCCCTCCATTCCACAGCACACCATATGAAAATCACTCCCCTCTCTCCCCTGATGACGTCCAGAGGATGTTCGGCTTCCCTCCGCATATTGTTTTTTACACACGGGATTCTCGGGAGTTGGATTTTCGTTTGGTTGTTTGTCCAAAATGTTGTTACCGCTGCAGCGCTGGCTTCAGTTTCGGGCTTCCACTCGTTCCGAATCGTGCTCCCGCTGCAGCACTCGCGTCAGTATTTCCAGTGCCATGCCACGGCATGCAATGCAATGCTAAACGGTGTTCCGTTGTGTGATGCCATGCAGCTCCAGCTGCAATGCTAGGATATGCAGTACTTGACTACGCAGTGCCACGCCATGCTATGCCATCCTACGATTTGACCTTCAACGCCATGCTATGCCATGTTTTGTTATGTGCCGCTGTGCGATGTCATTATTTGCATTGCAACGTTTTGTGAAGTTGTTTATCGACGCAACGCCACGCCATGCTATGACATATTACGCTTTACCGTGCTGTTCTAAGCCCTGCTGTGCTGTGCTCTACGGTACATCGCGCACCCTCTCGGGATCATTGCCTTGCTCGACATCCGATTGTGCGAATAAAGGAGATCTACGCCATGGTAAGGGATGGGAGGGAGGGGTAGGACGTCAGATATGACGCTAGCGCCCATAGCTTGCCTCCCTCCCCTCCCCCCCCTCCCGCCCCTCCTCCAGTTACCCCTCCGCTCCTCCAGTTGCCCCTCCCTGCCTTCTCCTCCAGTCGCCCCGCCCCTCCCCGCTTTTCCCTCCCCTCCTCCGATGCCGCGACGAGGACGACGACGACGACGACGACGAGGAGGAGGGCCCCATCGGGGCCGCCCTGCCTTCCCCGAGGCCCTCGGAGGGCGCCCGCCCGCAGGCGCAGACCCTGGCCCTCTCCGTCCAGGAGACCCGGAGGCTGCTCCAGGCCGCGGGGGGGGCGCCCCGGCATCGGAGGCCCGGAGGCGGACGCTAGCACCAGCAGCGGCGGTGTGCCGCCACCGAAGGATGATGATCCCGATCTCGGCCTCTACAGGAGGCCTGCTCAAACATGGTCAAAGAATAGTCAAGGACGATGTGTTGCATTCTTTGTTTGATTTCTGTTCCTCCAGGACTTCGCCCCCGGCTCCTGTCCATGGCGTACCTTGTCCTGTGCAAGATCTTCGGCACCGCCTGTACGTTGCACCCTCCGGCGGTAATGTTTTGGCGCCCTGGGTGGCCGAAATATTACAACCAAATACCAAGATCTGGGGCCATCCGGCCTCGCCGGAGGCCCCCCCGTTCTGGTGCTGGTGCTCTTTTCCGATCCTGCAACACCTTGGCATCGCTCGGACGTGTGTATTTTTTCTCGGCTGGGGCCATCGAGAAGCATCCTCGACCATTGGGCCAACAACACACGCACGAAACCGAAAAATGCACAGGGAAGGGACGTCCGAACGATGGCGAGACACTAGTCGAGGTCGTCGGCGGCGTCGTCCCCAGAGATCCGACGCTCCCAAGAAATCGGAGCGGCGGGTTTTGTTCCGTGTTCGGCCTCTGGGGGGCCCCTCGCCAGGCCCGGGGACCTTCCTAATAGCGACCCGAGAGGAAGAGTCGGCCCTGAGGAAGTCCAGACCTCTGGGGCCCACGCGTCGAAAAGACTGCAGCGGCCAGATGTCTGGGTCTCTGGGAGGCAGGCGGAGGAGGAGGACGAGGAGGAGGAGGAGGAGGAGCAGGAGGAGGAGGAGAACGAGGACGGGGGCGACGAGGCAATCCACCCGTCCGTCCGTCCCAAGTCCCCTGCTCCTAGGTCCCTACGAGCCTCCCTCCTCGCCACAATACGAGAAGCATCCCCTTGACAGACCCACCTCCCTATGGGCCAGGAGTAACAAGAGGAAGCATTCAGAAGGTTCTCCGGGGGTTCGCGGGGTATCCGCGGAAGTTCTGGGAGGGTGGGGGGGGAAGGAAAAAGCGGAGGAGGAGGAGGAGGAGGAGGAGGAGGAGGACAGACGGGTGAAGAGGAGGTGGAGGAGGAGGAGGCGACGACGACGACAACGAATTGCCTGCCCCCTTGGCAGCGCCACGAGCAGAACTTTCCCGCCGAGACCATCCTGGCAGCCCTCGCGGGTGGCAGCGCCGAGGCCACGCGGTGCTTTGAAAGTTGCCGAGAGAGGATGAGGAAGGTCCAGACTTCCGACGACCCGACGACTACAAAAAGCGTGCACGGGTTGTCTCCACATCGTCGGTCTTTGGAGGCACGTTTCGGGTCCCCGGACCTTTGAAAACGCACCCGGGATGAAGGAAAGCCCTGGGGGAGCAGGTCGAGAACAGGGGCCCGCGACCCGAACAAACATGAGTCGTCGGAGGTCTGGGGAAGAGGAAGAGGAAGAGGAGGAGCAAGAGGAGGAGGAGGAGGAGAAGGAGGAGGAGGAGGAGGAGGAGCACGAGGAGGAGTAGGAGGAGGAGGAGAAGGAGGGGGGGGTGGGGACGTGTCGGAAAAGGAACATGAGCCTCAGTGGGAGGAGCGATCTCAGGAGGGCTCGGCTCGGTTGATGGGCTCAGAATATACGCCAGACGGCCATGACGTCGGGGGAAGCGACTGGGAGGGGAGAGACGCTTAAGCATCGAGCTCATCCTCCTTCTGCTCTCCCTCCGCCAGCTCCTTCCCACTCGGGCGAGGGAGGATCACCTCCACTGCCACCACTCGGAAGAGGGGGAGCAGAGGGGGTCCTGGATGCGGTGGTGGTGTGTGCGTTCCGGGGACCCCTCCGCGGGGCATCCTGCTCATCTCCGTGCCACGTCACACGAGGTGCGCAGTGCTTGCATCCGTTATTGCGGCGATGCGCCTCCCAGGTGACCCGTGGGGAGCGCTGAGGTCACCAGGCTTCGCTGTCTGGGTTGGAGACCCGCCTTTCGCCAGGAGGACGGCGCGAGGTTGGGGGAGATCGGCGTGTTTGTGGTGGGAGTCGGGGCGGGTGGCAGGGCCCACTTCGGCGTGATCGCTCCAACTCGATGTCGATTCCGTTCAGATCGATCTGAAATCACAGTAGGGGCTCGTTCACAAGACTTGGCATCGCTCGGACGTGTGCATTGTTCCTTCGGCGAGGACCATCGAGGAGCATCCTTGATCATTTGGCGAAAAAACCACGCACGAAACCTAAAAAAACACAGGAAATGGACGTCCGAGCGATGGCCAGAAGACCCCAGGACGTCCACTGATTCTTGGTGCGGGCACGCCACGTCCTCCACAGCAAAACCACCGAAGCCCAAGAAGCCCAAGGGCACCCTGGAGGCACGCAGGGCGTGTCTTGGCATAGGCCTCCACTGTATTGCGTGCTCCTCCTCCTCCTCCCTCCTCCCTCCTCCCTCTCCTCCCTCTCCCTCCCCCTCCTCCTCCTCCCTCCTCCTCCTCCTCCTCCTCCTCTCCTCCTCCTCCCCTCCTCTTCCTCCCCTCCTCCTCCGTGCCTCCTCCTCCTCCTCCCTCCTCCTTCCTCCTCCTCCTCCTCCCCCTCCTCCCTCCTCCCTCCCTCCTCCTCCTCTCCTCCTCCTCCTCCTCTCCTCCTCCTCCCTCCTCCCTCCTCCCTCCTCCCCCTCCCTCCTCCTCCTCCCTCCTCCCTACCCTCTTCCCTCCTCCCTCCTCCCTCCTCCTCCTCCTCCTCCTCCCTCCTCCTCCTCCTCCTCCTCCTCCTCCTCTCCTCCTCCTCCTCCTCCTCCTCCTCCTGCCTCCTCCTCCCTCCTCCTCCTCCTCCTCCTCCCTCCTCCTCCTCCTCCTCCTCCCTCCTCCTCCCTCCTCCTCCTCCCTCCTCCTCCTCCTCCTCCTCCCCTCCTCCGCCTCCTCCTCCTCCTCTCCTCCTCCTCCTCCTCCTCCTCTTCCTCCTCCTCCTCCTCCTCCTCCGCCGTAGCCATTTTGGCTCAAGATGCCAAGCAAGGGGGGGCTCCGCGCCTCCGTGCCAAAACGGATAGCTCTAGTCCGAGCCATATCCCGATCCTTTCAGGGCCACGATCCCGACAGCCACTGCTTGTCGGTACAAGCCCAAGCTCTCTGCCACATTACACCATGGGTTTCACGAATGGGTGCAAGCAGCCATTCACGGTGTGCGGGTGCGGGCAGTGGGCGTTCAACTTCAGGATCGAGCGCAACAATGGGAAGTGCATCAAGTGCGGAGCCAAGCTACAGCTGTACAAGCCGCAGGGAGGACAAGGTGCTGGCTACGACGTCGCTGCGGGATCGCCGTGGCGCGAGGGAAGGCAGGGCCGCCGCTGGGGCGGCAACGGCGGCAACGGCGGCACCACTCAGGCCGCCCCCAGCAACAAGCAGCAGAACGAGGCGGATGAGCTCAAGAAGGCGCTTGAGCTCTGCTCTGCCATCCTCCCCGACGATGCGATGGAGCAGGCCAAGAAGAACTTGGCAGCCAAGACGGAGACGGAGGCCAAGGCCAGGACCCTGTCGCAGCAGGTCCAGTCCACGGCCGCCATCCTGGAGCAGAAGGAGGCGGCGCTCCAGAAGGCCGCGGACGCGCTCGTCAAGGCCGAGGACGCTACCAAGAAGGCGAAAGAGGCGCACGTCTTGGCGGGCACCGAGCTGCTCAAGGCGAAGAAGGACCATGAGGATGCGGTGCAGTCGCTGGCCTCGACGGTGTCCAAGCGCCCCGTGGACGACACCACCACCAGCGACGGCAAGAAGGTCATCTTTGCGTTCGACATGTCCCTCCTCAACGAGGGCCTCGACCAGCTCGACGAGGAGAAGAGGAGGGAGCTGGAGGGCCACCGCGCAGCCCTCGACACCGCCTACCAGGCCATGGTCGCCGAGGACGCCAAGGTCAGGGAGATGTGGGCCAAGATCGAGAAGATCAAGGCGAGCCCGCCCAAGCGGGCGCGGGTCGAGATCGCCAGCGCGGCTGAGGCCCCAGCGCAGCAGGCTGCCAAGGAGCAGCCAGCGGCCGCAGCGCAGCCGGCCGCACCTGCTGCGGAGGAGAATCCTGACGTCGCCATGGCGGGCGACGAGGAGCAGGCTGTCGAGAGCATCGCGGTCCCTGGCCTGGACAAGGCCGACCCCGAGCTGCTCGCGGCCACCCTCGAGCAGTCCGTCGCCGACGCCCGCAGCCGCCTGCCCGCCTGGCCCCCGCCGCCCAGCGGCAGCGGAGCAGCGGCCTCCTCTGGCGGCCCAGGCCCCGCGGCGGCGGCAGCGGCCACTGGCGGCGCCAGCGGCGGCCCGCCCCAGGCAGCGGCCGCCCCTGCTCCTGCTGCCGGCGGCGCTGGCAGCGCTGCCAAGCCTGGCGGCGGGGGCCGCGCGGCCCCCAAGGGGCCCCAGCGGGGAGGGCGATCGTCTCCCTAGCAAGGACGCTGCCGACGGAGGCGCAGGAGCCCAGGCTGTGGACGCTCTGAGACAGGAGGCAGCCAGCACGCAGTGGGCCAAGCGGCAGCACTGCACAGACGCGACGGTATTCTTCAGCAACATCACGAAGTGGGGCCCGCAAGCGAGAGGCTTCATGCGGGCCCAGGCCGAGAGCTACGACCTCGTCGGCCTGGTGGAGACACATGCTAACGAGAACGCGACAGGCAAGGCGCGCAGCGACTTGTCACGAGATGGATGGAAGCTACTCGGCACACCAGCGAGATTGACGGGACGCTCTGCGACGGGCACCTCAGGAGGCGAGTGGATGGTGGCCAAGAAGCAGATACAGACAACTTCTTTCGAGGCCTGGAGAGAGGCAGGCAGGAACAAATCTGGCCAGGACCCGTTTGAGGGGTTCTGCCCGATTTGCTGGCACCTCAAGTCGGGAAACATCGTGATCGTCAGCGCCTACCTCCTCCCGCAGCTCGGGTTCAAGGAGGCCAACCAGCGGACCCTGGTAAGGCTCGGCGCCTTCCTCCGCCAGCTGCGCGACCCCCGGGTGGCCCTGGGCGACTGGAACATCACGCCAGACGAGTGGGACAAGACACAATGGCTTACGAAGCTCAATGCGGAGAGGCTGCTGGCGGAGAATTGCACCGCCACGTGCAACAGGGGCTCGGGCAGCGCCATCGACTACGCCCTGGTCTCCAAGGGCACGGCAGCCCACCTGAAGCTGCAGGCTGTCGAGGAGGTCCCGTGGAAGGACCACGTCGGCCTGAAGCTCACGATAAAGGACGGCAAGCAGAGGTGGTGGCACAGGAAGCTGGACATCGCGCACGAGCTCCCCACGGTCCCGCGGCCCAAGAAGCAGGCCGACCCGAACAGCAAGCGGCAGAAGGGCTTCCAGAAGGCCAAGGAGGAGAGGCGCGCCAGGCTCCACGAGCACCTGCAGGCCGCCTTCGACGAGATGTACGACGAGCTGGGCGGAGACGATGACGAGAGGGAGGCGGCGCCCACCGCGACCTTCAACATCCCAGGGCATGTGTGGGAAGATGCGAGCGCAGCAGTGGACGCCAGAGGACTGGCCCCAGGAGTGACAGCCTGGGAGAGACAGCCTCCCCACCGACAGCAACATCGAGAAGCCAAGAGAGCAAGGACCACTTCTTGCTGACGAGGGACCCGCAGGGCCAGCAGAAGATCGACAGCCACTTCGCGAGGTGGATCACGACCCTGGAGCTTGCGACCCTCCAGCACCATGAGATCGACACAGACAGGCAGGACGCCTACGCGGGCAGAGGCAGAGGATATGCCATCAAGTGGGTCAGGACCTCGGCCACGCCGGCGCGAGCGCACCTCCGAGACCCACACCTCGAGTGGTGGCACATCGCGGTGACGCTCCTCAAGCGCTACGAGATGCTCAGGCGCACCGACAGGATCTCCGAGGCCGCCAGCTGCAACGGCAAGATCGTCGAGCTCATGCAGAAGGCTGAGGAGACGCAGCTCCACGAGGTGTTCAACAAGGACGACGGCGATGAGTTCGGCAACTGGAAGGCCATGATGAGGATGCTGCAGACCCTCCCCGACGAGGACGTGATCCCCATCATCGAGATCAGCGAGAGGTACCAAGGGAGGGCCATCGGGCAGGCGCTCACCAAGTCGAGGAAGGTCTACCAGAGCTGGGCCATCAAGATGTGGAAGGAAGCACCGCGGCACCTCCACAACATGGTCAAGGACCCGAGACCCGAGACCGTTGAGAAGATCCAGCAGGGGAGCTCCGTGGCGGACCCCGACCAGATCATGAGCAACCGCGCCGACGAGTGGGAGAAGCACTGGGCTGACCCCAGCGTGACCCCCGACCAGCTCCTCGACGGCATCCACATGGTCATGGGCCGCGCCTGGCAGCAAACCCTGGCCCCGCTCCAGCTGCAGCAGCTGGACCGCCTGCCCCCCGCCATCTCGGCCACCAAGGCCAAGGGGATCGACAACATCGGGCCGCTTGAGGTGCAAAGGCTCCCGACTGAAGGGAGGCAAGGAATGATCGACCTCCTCAATGACATCGAGGAGGTGGGAGCGTGGCCAAGGCAGATGCTTGCGACCATCGGCTCCGTCGCGCCCAAAGAAAAGGGAGGGGGCGACAGGATCCTCGGCCAGCTCCCGTTCGTCATGAAGACGTGGAGCAAGCTCAGGGGCAGCATCACGAGCGAGTGGAGTGCCAACCTGAGCGAGTTCTGGGACACAGCAATACGAGGCTCGTCGGCTCTACGAGCCAGTATCCTTCGAGCCACTCTTGACGAAACAGCGAGAGAACTGGGAATAACCACAGCCACGCTGCTGTTAGACCTGGCCAAGTTCTACGACAGCATCAGCGTGGTCAAGCTTGTCCAGCACGCGCTGGAGCAGGGCTACCCGCCCATCGTGCTCTGCCTCGAGGCGCAGATGCACCTGGCGCCGAGGCTGCTGAAGGAGCGGCAGTGGGTCAGCAGGGAGATCCAGCCGTGGCGCTCCATCCTGGCGGGCTCTCCAGAGGGAGTGCGGCTCGCCAAGGCCTTCATGGGGCCCATCCTCCACCGCGCGCAGCTCACGAAGCAGGCGGCCATCGGCCTCTGGACGTTCGTGGACGACACGGTCCTGCGCTCCCAGGGCACCGAGGCCAACGTGAAGAAGCAGCTGATCGACAGCGGCGCCAAGCTGGGCGAGTGCCTGAAGGAGGCGGGCCTCACGGTCTCCCCGAAGACCACGGTGATAGCGAGCTCCCCGAAGCTGGCCATCGCCATTGCGAAGGGCCTCCAGCAGCGCGGCGTCCCCGCCAAGGCAGAGGGCAACTTCACCGACCTGGGCGTGGACTGCAACGCCGCGAGGACGCGCACACGGCGCAAAGGCAGACAGAGAATGCAGAAGGCCGCCAGGCGAGCCCACGCCATCAGGAAGATGCGCAGGATGGCAAGGCTCAAAGTGGTGACCAAGGGCCTCTGGATGACAGGGGCCCGAGCGCAGGGCACTTACGGCCACCAGGTGCAGGGCCTGCCGCACTACGAGGTCCTCAGGCTGAGGAGGCAGGCGGCGCAGGCGGCAGCAGGGCGCGGGCCAGGGCGGTGCCTCACCAGCACCCTAGCCATGCTCTACGGCAGAGGCGACCCAGCCAAGAGCATCCCGCGCGAGCAGCTGGCGGCCTGGCTGGACCAGTGGTTCGTCCACCCCGAGCTGCACGCCAGGATCGCCAAGGCCTGGCAGCCGGCGCTCAGGAGGCTCCGTCTGGCGGGTGAGAGCCGCTGGAGGAGAGTGCGTGGGCCAGTTTCGGCCACGGTGGCGACCCTCCTTGACGCAGGATGGGACCCTGTCGACCACGACTTCTGGGTCACGGACGAGGACGTGGGCCGGCGTTTCCCCGGCCCCAACCAGCCGAGCTTCGCGGAGGCGGCGGCGGATTACGTGGAGCTGCTCTCGGACTTCGAGCGCTCCATCGACAGGAAGCTCTGGAAGCAGGCGGCGCTGCACCAGGGGTCCTTGGACATCGAGGGCGGCACCGACATGCTCATGATCAAGCGGGAGATGCAGCAGTTCCAGAAGCGGGGGGACGACGACCTCTGGGCGCTCGACGTGGCGGTCGTCGCGGCGGGCCAGTGGACCAGGCAGAGGCGCGCGGAGGCCGGCTACGAGGCTCCTGACGCCTGCCCCCGCTGCGGCCAGGCGGCCGGTTCTCTTTTCCATCGTGTTTGGGCTTGCGCCTGCAACCAGGGCCACCCCGATTTCGAGAAATCTGATCACCTCATCCCTCGGGCCACCGCGTGCCACGAGGCATGGCCTTCGTATTGGCTGCGTGGGCTTCCGAGTGTCGAGGCCACGACCCCCTCCTTCGACCTCGACCTCCCTCCTCACCGCTCCGAATTCGGTGATTTCGCGAGTGTCCCGAGAGGCCCCGACGGGTTCCTCACGGTTTTTGGGGACGGCTCTGGGGGGAGCACTCCTCGGACCCCCGCCGCAGGAGAGTTGGCTCAGGAGTTTGTGCCCTCGAAGCTCTCCCAGCAGGTGGTTGGACCCCGTCGGCGGGTATCGTTTGTAGTCTTGGGGGCACCCGTCAGACGGTCCCGAGGGCCGAGCTAGCGGCCTTCGCGGAGGCCCTCGAATGCACGTTTGGGCCGCTCAGGTATGTCACTGATCATAGGCCCCTCCAGGACGGCTGGAACAGAGGTCGGCATCTCTCCCCGTCGTTCAGCTGTCCCAATGCCGACCTCTGGTTCAGAATAGGCCGAGCTGTGCGAGCTCGTGGCCCCGACCCCGTCCTAATCGAATGGACCCCATCCCACCGTGAGTCGGGAGATATACGCACGGCCCGAGACTTGTGGTGGGCGGTGGGTAACGAATGTGCTGATGAGCTGGCCTCCCGAGGAGCGTCGGCTGCATGGACCGAATTTGTAACGAGTGTTCCCTCCACCGATGCGGTGGACGCCGAGACCTCCCTGATCCGACGTAGGGCGCGGAGAGCTCTTGCGGAGGCCATCCGAGCTGACCCGTGGACCGAAAGTCGTCCCTCGGCCCCTCGCCCCGATCGGATCCCGCGGCTCGAGCTGGCCATGAGAGCCTCGAAGCACGAGTGGAGAAGGCTCGGCACGAAGTTTTATTGCCGTAAATGCTAGGTTTTCGTGAACCGTTCGAGGTTCATGGCTGCTGCCCCGACAGTGTGTGCGCACGGTGCCCCTCCCCCAGGAATCGCGCCCTTAAACGGTCGACGGGTTCTGGGAGGGCAGGTCTTGGACGAGTCCCACGCCTTACAGTATTGGGGAGAATTCAAACTCGTCTTCTGCAGTATGTGCGGTCTCACGGCAACTACTGACCCCAGGCACCTCTGCAGACCTTGTGTTGCACCCACCCCGAAGGGGAGGCATAATCTGGCGAGGATCAGGAGAGGCCTTCACCCATGTGTGAAAGGGCCCCCCAAGATTGTAAGAGAAGCCAATCTTGAAGACCTCCGCCAGTAATTCACGTGTGTCGACGTTCGTTGTCGTCAGCCCACTAGTCCACTCCTCCTCCTCCTCCTCCTCCTCCTCCTCCTCCTCCTCCTCCTCCTCCTCCTCCTCCTCCTCCTCCTCCTCCTCCTCCTCCTCCTCCTCCTCCTCTCGGGCATGGCCAGGTCGCCATCCTCGCCGGGCCGGGCGAAGCCGCCGGCCCCCGTGTCCCGCTGGCGCTGCCAGAAGGCGGGCCTCGGCTGCCGCGGGGCGCGCGCTTGGCCCCGCGTGTTCTGCAGCTTCTCGGCGGGCTCCCGAGAGCCGTCCGGCGAGTCGAGCTCGCCACGCCGTCCACGGCTCCCGGGGCACCGAGGTCGGGTCGGCGTCGGCTTCCGTGAAGGCTCTGCGTGCCGGGGGGCCTTGCACCCAGAAGTCCTCCCAGCTCGGTTCTGTTGCATCTTCGCAGGACCTCGCCTGTCCCAAAAATTAGTGGTTTTGGGGGGGGGCCCGACGCGTGCTCGATGCGGACTCGACGCGGATTTGGCGTGGATTCGACGCGGATCCGACACGGATTCGACACGGATCCGACGCGTCCGACATGGATTCGACACGGATTCGACGCGGACAGGGCCGCGACGGGACAGACAAGGTCCCCCGAGGGTGCAACATGAGCTCGGGGACCCGGGGCCCGCTTGAGGACCACGGCTCAGCTCGCTGCGTCTGCTGCCTCGGAAGTGGCCAGGGCTGCGGGTGAGGGGTCAGGAGGGGAAAAAACACACAGACACAATTCATCGTCGATTCCCTGGGAAATATGGGCAAACATTATGGGAAGTGGGGGGGGAGACAAAAACCCTGAATATATAAGAAAATATGGGGAAGCCTTTTATTTGTGTGTATTTATTTGTGTGTCCCAGGGCCCCTTCAAGGAGGCTCGTCCGAGGTGCACGGTGGCCTGTGCGCGGCGGCCGGGCTCGGCGAGGCCCCAGTGCACTCCCCCAGACAGCCGAGCACCAGGACAGCCCATCGTCGGGAGTGCTCACCCAGGAGAGGTCGATGTTGGCTTAAGTCGGGCCTGCCCCCCTACAGGGGGATCTTCGACGAGAAATAACAAATACCCCAAAAATACGCCAAAAAGGTCAACAAATATTCAAAAAATAGTCCCCAGACTATTTTTGGACTATTGTTTGATTATTTGGGGTATTTTTTCGTCGAAAATCCCACTGTAGGGGGACAGGCCCGACTTCAATGTTGGCGCGCGGTGTGCCGCAGCACCCCCGAGATGGGCCCAGGGAAGCGGAGGTTTGGGCCCCAGCCCCAGCCTGGGGGGCTCGACGTGCGCAGCTCCCGGAGCCGCCTCGTGAGCGTGGTGTTTCTGAGAGGCGCCGTCGGTCCCAGCGTGGAGCCCTTGGGGCCACACGCGAACCCTGCCCCCCTACCCCCCACGACTTCTGAGGGGGAGGGGTAGGGTGTGCATGTGGTAGGGGTAGGGTGTGCATGTGGCCCCCTAGAAGCCCGATCCAGCCGCCTTCCCGGTCCAACCACGGCGCCGCGTTGCGCGGCAATCGGCGGCTTCGCCAGCGCGGGGGGGAGGGCCAAGCCGCGCTTGCGTCCCCTGTCAAAGCTCGCATTCTCCTGATGAAGTTGCAGCCCATGCCGGCTGCGCATCTGAGCACTACGATCCACTCGGCTGCCGCCGCAAGCTCTGGAGGGATGAAAAGCCATCACGTCGTCCACAGATCGGGTGTTACTACAGTGGGAGCCCATGCCAAGGAACACCCTGCTTGCCTCCAGGGTGCCCTGGGTATCTTGGCTTTCAATGGCTTTGCTATGGAAACCGTGCCGTTCCCACACCAAACATCAATGGACGTCCTGTGGTTCCAGGGCTAGGTTTCTTGTGGAAGGTTTCTTGTGGCCGAGCTCCTACTGTAGAGGTGCCCCTGGCCCAAGGTGCCCCCAGGATTCCAAAGAGGCCCCCGCGGCCTCCAGAGCATCCCCTCACGAGACCCCAGCGCGAACGACCCAGGCATCCTCTCACGAGACCCTACCCTCCAGCGGGAAGGCGGCGACGACGACGACAACGACGACGGCTGCGGCCACGGCCACGGCCACGGCGACGACGACGACGACGACGACGACGACGACAGCCAATGCGACGACGGCGGCGGCCAAGGCGGCGACGACGGCGGCGGCGACGACGACGACGACAGCCAATGCGGCGGCGGCGGCGGCGGCGGCGGCGGCGGCGGCGACGGCGACGGCGACGGCGACGGCGACGGCGACGGCGGCGAGCCCCCGCGCCCGCAGCCGCGCGCGGCGGCCTCCCTGCTGCTCGGGGTCCAGCTGCCAGAGCAGGCGCGGGCGGGCGCGCATCCGCCGGGGCCGCGGCCGCCGCCGTGTAGAGTGGAGACCCATGCCAAGGAACACTCTGCTTGCCTCCAGGGTGCCCTGGGTTTCTTGGGTTTCGATGGTCTTGCGATGGAAATCGTGGCATTCGCACACCAAACATCAATGGACGTCCTGGGGCCTCAGGGTTGGGTTTCTTGTGGAAGGTTTCTTGTGGTCGAGCCCCTACTGTAGGCGTTCCTCGGCATCGCTCGGGCGTGTGCATCCTTTCCCCTGCGAGGACCCTCGAAGAGCATGCTGGATCATCGGGCAAAGGAAGGCACGCACGAGACCGACAAGTGCACGGGGAACGGACGCCCGAGCGATGGCAGGGTTCTTGTCGGTGGCGAAATCCGAACCCTATCCTCGCCGGTCCACGATTCAGGCAACTCGATGGGCCGCGGAGGTGAGGTTCGGAATCCGCGAAACACGTGGCGAAGTCTGACCCTACCCCCCCTTCCCATCGATTAAGGAGAATCGATGATTGGTGCATGCTTGGAGAGGGTGGGGTTCGGATGTCACCACCCATCTTGGCCCCCATTCGGGGCCTGGGTGTCTCCATGGTCCCGTGAAGGCCTCCGCGGGGACCTATGGAGGCATCCAGGCGACATCGGTCGAATAGTTTCTAGAAGAGAGTCATTGCTGATATCTGGAGTCGGGTCTGGGCGCTCTCGCTTCGACGCCGGCTGCATTTTCCATAAAATTTGGAACCGAGGTTCCCGCTCGAACGCGGGTTTGGGGATCAGTGTGTGTTGTTGGAGGCCCAACAACGACGACAACGGCTCCCGTCCGATACTTCGTTCCTCACAATTAATTCCGAGACGCCCTGGTCATATGCATGATCACACTCAGGAATGGCGCTCTCGCCTGAGACGTCCTCGCAACGTATTGCATCGTGTACAAACCCAAGTGTGACGACAATGCCTCCCGCTCGATACTTCCCAACAGCTTATTCTGAGACGCCCTGGAGGCCCCCAAACTCAGGAACTGCGCTCGCTATCGAGACTTCCTCGCGTTTCACTCAAGTTGGTGAGTTGCCCGCAGGCGCGTTAGCTCACTCGACGGCCATGTCGGCGCGGTGCACACACAGAGTGCAGTGCTGAGTGCTTCCCCCAGGAGCTGGTATGAAAGGACCCCCCCCCGAAAGGGGGTTGGCTCATAGACTTGGTGGGTGGGTGGCGCAGGATGGCGATTCAGAATATGTCGGGGGTCGTGCTTACGCGGCGGCGCCAAGAATGATGATTAGAAAAACCGGCCCCGGGCCAGGAAACTGTGTATTGTCGCTCCCCCCCGCCCTCCTGGGGCGCGCGCTTGGACGGCGGACGGGCCAGACGGAGCCGAACCAAAGCGAAAGCCGAAAATTCGGCAACGGTGGTTAAATCGCCCCCCCCCCCATACACACACACACTTTCTGTTATTACTCGTCATCACATCAAGGGAGGAAAAGGAACAATTGAAGGTCAAAGCAGCTTGTTGGATAACATGTTCGCAAGATTGTCGTCGTCGTTGTCGTCGCCGTCCTCGTCGCCCTCGTTGTCGCCCTTGCCGCCGCCGCCGTCGCCGTCGTGGTCGTCGTCGTTCCGCCGTCGGGGGGCGGCACCAGAGCGTGCCCCTACGCCCTCCCCAGGGGCTTTTCGTTAGTCTCGGCCTCCTGAGGCCGCTCACTGGGTCCATGAGAAAGTCGGCCCCCGGACGCAAGTCACGTCGGAGGCTTGGGGAGCGCGTCTGTGGGGGAGCGATTTGGAGGTGGACGGGAGGAGAGGGAGGAGTGGTGGCGAATGAGGAGGAGGAGGAGGAGGAGGAAGCAGTGCGAACCCAAGACGCATCAACGATATGTCATAAGCCATCCCTCCAAGTTCCCTCTTCACAGGACCCTACAAGAACTTATCTGTATTGCGGTAAGCGCCCCATTAAAAGACAACCGACTGATAATCCCCAACCTTCCAAAACACAGTTCTTGGGACTTCAACACCGCGAATGCACGTGACTGTTGCGTCCTGAAAATCCTACATCGCGCCAGATCGCAATTCTCGAGACTTCAACTGCACGAATCATTGAAGGTCCTGCAAATTTCGAAGACAAATGCGCGCGGCGCTAAGGCGAGATCCACATGTTGAAAACGGGCCGTTCTCCATATGTGAAGCTGTTGCTAACGTTTAATTCAGACATGCGCGGCGCAGAGGCGAGAGCCACATTTTGAAAATCACAGAGGCGAACGCTACATTTTGACAACGGCCAGCCCTCCGTCTTTGAAACGAGTGCAACAGTTTTTTGTGACGAAAGCACGTGGCCGTCAAGCGAGATCCACATTTTGAAAACCCCCCGCCCTCCATCCTTAAAAGTGTTACCAATCTCAAGTTTCAGGATCACAGAAGGAAAGGACGATTCAGGCGAAAAGCCCAGACCGCTCTACCGACGCGCCTGGGTGTACGACAGGGAAGAGGTACGTGCAAGGAGAAGGGGTCCGGGAGGACTGTAAACAACGGGGGCTGAACTATAGGAGGATGAAGATGGAGGAGGAGAGGGCCTCCGTGAAGGTCCTCCGGATAGAGGGAGGCAGGTGAGGGGAGGAGGAGGAGGAGGAGGAGGAAAAGGAGGGCTGATGAAGAGAGTAGAAGGATGGAGGATGAAGGATGGCGGGGGTAGGCCCCCCCGAAGGCCCCGAATAGGAGCAGGAGAAAGAAGGAGGAGGAGGAGGAGGAGGAGGAGTGGCCTTCTCAAGGCGTGCAAGGGTCAGAATTCGAGGCAGATGCTCGCGCGAAGCTTCCCAGGACGAGGCGGCCAGATGTCTTTTGTTGATGTGTGCTTTCTCTCTCTCTCTCTCTCTCTCTGTTTTTCTCTCGTTCTCTCTTTCGCCCCCTCTTTTCTTTCTTCTGTATTGCTTTGTTTCTCTCTCTGTCTCTCTCTATCTTTCTGACATTTTTGTTTGTCTCTCTCTCTCTCTTATTATTGTTTTTTTTTTTCTCTCTCTCTCTCTCTCTCTCTCTTCTATATTACCCTCAGTGAGGCTGCGCTTGAAAAGGAGGAGGAGGAGGAGAAGAAAGAGGATGAAGAGGAGGAGCGGTTTTAGGATGAGTTCGCGTCAGGCAGCAGTCACCAGCGCCTTGGACACATAAGGCGCGACGGCTTGGTGGTCGGGGGGCCCTCGGATGTGTGTGCCTGGATGCTTTGTGCCGCGATAGTTTGCTTCGTCAGCGCGCTGCTGTATATGGAAGAGTGTCATTTTGTCAGCTGACCAGAGAACCTCTCTTGTTTTGTACAGGAATGATAATTCCAAGCTCGATGGCTTGATCGGTTCCATTTCGGGGCCCGCTGGAAGCGCCAAAAAAGGCACTGGTTGATCGGCGCCTCGTGGGGGCCTTTCGACACTGTCAGAAGAGCACCGATTGAGGATATGTAACGCAGGCGCGAGATAGAAGGCAACATATGCCATTAGTTTGGCTCAAGCATCTGCATGGTCAGAAGTTCGCTGCTTTCGGATGCATACCCTCTGCGCGGGACGCTTGTTTTCTTGTATCGTGTCATCGCCCTTTCTTCCCCGCGGTGTGGCCCCGTCGCTCACGGACCTGACGGCTCTGCGCGACTGGGTCGGCGTGCCACGGCCTGCGTTCGCCGCGGTCCAACAGCGCACAGACATATTTCCGAGGGCGAGATCCACAATCAGGCCGTCCTGCCTCTGGATGCGATTCGCGCGGCGGCGGGGGCCGCACGCTGGGGTCAGAACGGGCACGAGGAGTCTACTCCAATTCAACGCGCCCAGACGGGACTCGCGTGGAGGACTGCGCAGAGGCCGGCTTGGTCGGTGGTCGGCCGCGGGCACCAATTGAGAGGATTTGGCCGACATCGACCCTGTGGTCGACCCAACGACGCGGCAGCCGGCGAGGGCAGGGCGGACGACCGTGGCAACGGGCGCGGCAGCCCCGCTAGGTCCCAACTCCAAAAACGCCCACGTCATGGACCAGGCCGACGACTCAGAACTGCCCCCCGCCGGGTCGCAGGAGCCCCAGACGCGGCACCAACGCTGCGTCGCGCGGATCGGCATGGCGCCAGAAGGGGAGGAGCCCAGTTCGCAGCCAGTCCAGGCCGCGAGCCACAGGGGCACGATCACGAAGGCCGGCCCGCACGTCGACATGGCCGCGCGGGTGCCTTTCGGAGGGGAGACGAGCAGAGCGAATCGGCTCAGGGCGTGGATCCCGAACGTTGACGGGTCAGGAGGCGGCAGGCCCAGACAATGATGCCCAGTGGCTCCCGTCGTGGCGCGCGTTCGCCATCGCTGCCCTGATGTTGAACGTCGCGACGCGGGCATCTCTGCTCTGCTACGAGAGGCTCGTGGAAAAGCCTGCGCGGACTTGGCCGACCGCGCGGCACCTCGTCGCGCAGGGCGACTACAAATGCAGGGCGGAACACTTCGAGCGAATCCATCGCCGAGCGGCGGCCGACCGCGCGGGGCCCCCAGCGGACCAGGGCCAGATGCGGCCGGTGAACGTTTGCTTCCGGCCCGCAGCTTCCGACGACAAGTTCCGGGGCGAACGCGTCCGTCACCCCGCGGCGGCGCGGGTCGCGGCGGGCGCGCGCGGGGCCCCGAGGGCGCCAGGCGAGAGGTTGTCCGCCGCGCCGCCGCGCCCCTCTTGGGCGGCATCAGCTAGATCACGACGGCGCAAGAGGGCCGCGCGCCGACGCGCGACAGCGCCAGGAAGCTGAAGAGGCAGGATCTGAAGAAACGCGGGGCGGCGGCGGCGCAGGAGCTGGCGCGCTACAGGGCGGCGGCCGCTCCGGAGGGCGGCTCCGCTCGCGGCTTGGCCAGCCGCCCGCCCGCGGGCAAGAGCGGGGACAAGGGCGGTTCGTCGAAGTTCAAGGAGGTCGACGGGCGCGGCGTCGAGCTGCGCTTCAGCGGGACCAACGAGACGGGCGAGCGCGGCAAGTTGCCCCCGAAAGCGCCCTGCCCAATGGGCGGGCGCATGAGTGCAAGATCTGCCTGCCCCCGGAGCATCGCGCGGGAGACGGCCCCCAGCGGTCGTCGCTCTAGCCGCGGCGACGGGGTCGATCGAGGGCGCGGGGGCGAGCGGCCCCGCGGAGAGCGGCCCCGCGCATTCGGCGGCGTCTCCGAGGGTCCCCAGGAGGGCCCAGAGCGCATCTGCCCGTCGGCCCCCCCAGACAGCGCGGGGCCGCTGGATCGCCCCTCGGCGAGCCCCGAGCCGCTGCCTGATGTCGCTCGGGAGTCAGGCGTCGTCTTGGCGCGAGGCCCACGTCGCGTGGCGGGTTGAGAAATCCGACGGCAGCGGCGGCGCGGGCCCCGGGGCTTCGGCGGGTCGGGGATCTGGTGAGCTGCGCTTTCCGGGCTGTCTGCGCAGGGCGTCCGGCCGCCCTGGGCGCGGGCGCGCGCTTCGGCGCCCCGGGCTACATGGGCCCGCCGGACGACCCGGTCGCGGAGCGGGAGGCAACGCTGCGCGGATGCCTCGGGGCGCCGCCAGAACCAGCTTGGCTGCCTCAGCGGGCGCAGCGATGGCTGGGTCGCGCGGGGGGCCCAAGAGAGCGACTTGCGGGACTGGCTGCAGATGGGCGCGCCACTCGGAATCGGGGAGCCCATCTCGCCCATTGCGGCGCCCTCGGAGTTCGAGGACCTGGGCGCCCCCGTGGGCGCCCCCGGCATCGAAAAGACGGTCGCGTCGGGCACCAATTGCACCGGCATCTACGATCATTTAAGACGTCAGTGAGGAGATCGACGGATGTGCGCAGGGGGGGCGCGGCATCGCCGTGCCCGGGCCCACCACTTCGGAGCAGTATCCAGGCGGCTCGGCCCCGAAGATGGCCGTCATTCTCCAGACGAGGGCGGACGGCACGCAGATGCGAAGCATCATCGTCGCCATGAGGAGGTCCCCCGCCAATTCGTGCTCCGAGGCGCCGCAGCGCATCGCCCTGCCGCGCATCTGACCTCGCGAAAGACGCGAGGGACTTCTTCGAGACAGACTCGCTCGCGAGGATGGGGCGCGTTTTCTCGCGCGCCAGCGCGCACCTGGCCGCTAGGCCCACGGGGCTGAAGCACGGCGGCGCCCCGCGCTGAGCAGGGCGACTTCGTGCTCATGGTCGCGCTGCGCTTCGGGCCCAAGGCTGCGACGTTGCCACGGGGCTGGGTGGCGGCCGCGCTGGCTCGCCTTTTGCAGTGGCTGAGTCCGCGCGGCGCAGCCCGCGGCCAGCTGCGCCTCGATGGCCCCGTTTGGATCCTCGTGCGTAGGGTGGCGGAGAGGCGGCGCACCCTGGCGAGCCACGCGCTAACCCTCCTGCAGCCCTTGGCCCCAAGCTGGCTGGGGCAAGGGCCAGAGGGGTGCTAAAGTAGGGTGGATGGGCACCGGCGTCGCCTTGACTTGGCAGGGGCGCCTACTCACCGCGAGCACCCCCAAGAAGTGCATCGAGGATCTGCGCGCGGAGGCCCGAGGCCTCCCGGAGCGCGGCGCGGCTGGGATCAAGGCGCTGCGGTCGATCGCCGGCCGCGCTTCTTGGCGCGCTGGCCGACCTCAACCAGGGGCGCGCCGCCAGGGGCGAAGCCCGCAGGGCAGGGCAACGCGGTGACCTGCGTTGGAAGAACCACCTGACCCACCAAAAGCGGCCCGCCACGCCGCCGCCATGCCGCAGGAGTGGATCAATGCTCTCCAGTTTCGAGGGCGGCGCGGCCAGCCGGTTGGAGCTACGGCGACGCCCCCTTGCCTTCGCCGCGGACGCGCTCCCCCAGGGAATCGGCGGGGCGTTCGTCGACGAGCGGCCCCAGACGGCGCTCGATAATTTCGAGGGCCGACTGGCTGAGCAGGACGGCGAGGATTTGGACACCCCAATCGGCGACCCCAGGGCGCCAGGAACTTCGGAGCGCATCGCAGCAGCTGTCGCGATCGCGCTCTGGGGCCACGAGATGGGCGGCGAGGGCCCCCCGCTCGAGGCCCCCGCAGCGACTCCGCAGTCGCGCTCGCCATGGAGAAAAGCTATCCAGCAATTGGCCAGGCATCAATTTTCTCCGCGCCTGCCTGGCGCTCACATGACAAGACTCACGCGGGGGGCTCTGGCGGCGCGCGCCCCCAGTGCACTTGACAAGCTGGCTGACTGGCTCGGTCGCGCGCGCCAGCGGGGGGGGGGCCTTGGCGCAGCGCCGGCGGCGCTCGCCTGCGCAGATGCGCGGCGCGCGCCGTCGAGGTCGGCGAAGTTCGAGCCATCCCGCCCGCCCCCGGGCCGAGGGGCCATCCCATGGGGCGGAAGCTCGAGCGCGGTCGCGACGCAGGCCTGGGCCGGGCGCGAACTGCTCGCGGGGCCAGGGCCCGCGGGTGGGTCGCCAGTAGTTTGGCTCGCCGCCGTGGTCGCGGAGGACAAGGGCCGCGCCGCGGCTGCGCGCGCGGGGGCAGGCGCCGCTTTTGCGCGGGCTGGGGCCCGCCTCGGGATGCTGCCTTTTCTTCCCTCGGCAATGTGATGTCGGGAGCGCGGCCCCCTAATGTCAAGCGCTTGCCGCGTCCGCGTGCCCGGGAAGGGGGGTGCCCCCAGGGGTCACGCCACGCGCTTGCGCGCGGGCGGGCTCGGGCCCGCCTCGCGTTGTTGCGCTGTCTTTTCTTGGCCAGGTGGCGTCTGGGCCGCAGTCTCCGCAAGTTAAGTCTTGCCGCGCCCCGCCCCGCCGGTTCCCGGAGAGGTTTCGAGGGACTTCGCGGCGGCCCCCCATCGCGCGCGGCTTCCGCAGGTCAAGGGCGCGCCGCGTCCCGCCTTGCAACTTTCCTGGAGAGGTTTCCGAGGCCCTGGGCTGGCTCCCCCTGCCCCCCCTCTTCTCCGCAGCGCAGAGCGTGGATTTCGACCCCGCTGGCGCGGCCCCAGAATGCCGAAGCGGGGGCGTTGGCGCGCGCCGCTGGGCAGGCGGGGCGCTGGCCCGCGCGGACGTCGCACCGAAGGCTGTCTTGCCCCAGCCGCAGGGGGCGGGAGGCTCCCCCGCCCCCCCGACCGCGGGACGCCCGAGCCGCGAGGTCGACGCTTGCCGCGAGAACGGTTCAGCGGCGGGGGGCGCCGGGGGCCGCGAAGACCACCCTGGCGCGGCGGGGCCCGCGGGGTCCAGGGGCCACATGGCCGCGGCGCTGCGCGCCGCTGGCAATCCGGTGCTGCTGGACCAGGCGACAAGGCGCTCGAAGGATGTTCTCTGCGAGCTCGGCGAGGGATGCATGCCAAGACCTAGATGCGCGTGGACGTCGAGAGGCTGGCGCGGTCGATCTCGCCAGACCAGCCAATCGACCCGGCCAGCTACGACGTCATCGCGGGGGCAGCGGCGGCGCTCAAGGCAGGGGTTTCAAGAGCGGCCTCCGCCCTCGCCGCTACGCGTCGGGAGCGCGCAGGCGGACTTGGCCGCAACGCCTGCGCGCGAGGTTAGCTTAGCTTTGTCAGAGGTGAGGGCATCAAGGCGGAGAGGCTTCACATCGAGGCCTCCGGTGCCCCAGGCACGCCGTTTTGGGCGTGGGCCACCGGGTGCGGGTGGGCCTTCGCTGGCGGGGGGTGCAACTTCGTGTTTCTGAAGTGTTCGGCAGTTGCTTGTCGCTTGCGCGAAGGGCTTGAATTTCGACCCAAGCGGCATGGCCAGCATGGGCAAGAATTGCAGTGCCGCAGCATGTGGAATGTCCGCCAATCTGAAAAAAGGTGCGTGGCTCCCGTCCGTCGCCCTCCCTCGCTCCTCCTCTCTTGGGTGGTGGGCGGATTCTGGCTGTCCCTGCCGTTGTGGCTCCTTTCGGGGGAGGAAAGGCCACGCCGCACACCGCCACCGGCGATGCCGATGCCCCCCGGTGGCCCCAGGCGGGGAGGCGGTCGTCGTCCAAGAGCCACGGGCGGCACAAGGAGCCCGAACAGCCGCACTCTCGACCCAGGGCGGGCACGGCGGCATTGGCGGAGGAAGGACCCCAAGAGGAGGGGGAGGAGGAAGCGAAGAAGGCGGAGGAGGAGGAGGAGGAGGAGGAGGAAGAAGAAGAAAAACAGGAAAGAAGACGAGGAGGAGGGGGAGGAAAAAGAGGAGGAAAAGGCGACAAGATACTCTGGATGTAGCCCCCCCCAGTGCTCCAGACGTGGCTACATCTGGAGGATCTTGTAGCCGTCAGGAAAATTCAGGAAACAGGAGGAGGAGGACTTGTTTTAGGAAAGTGGTGGGGGGATTTGGGAGAGATATTGGGGGTGGTGAAATCTTTCGTTGCCCACCTTTGATGGTAATTACTGCACTCAGTCGCGCCATTTTGCCACTGTTCGCCATGCTTCTTTCTCTCAGAGCAGCTGTTTGCATCAGAGTTCTTGTTGCGGTCACACGCACGCTACGGTCACGCTGACCCCAGTTTGCCAAGCGCACAGGAGGAGGAGGAGGAGGAGGAGGAGGACACGAAGAAGAAGGTCTTCACAAAGACAAGGGCTCCCGGAGGGTGTTCGCTGTTATCCGCCTCCTCGGCGCTCCCCATGCACCAGGACTGTCAGAAACCGACTCGGGATGGAGGGATAGCCCCGGGGAAAGGACAGGGACAAGGTCGGATTTCCACCTGGATCCTTTTCCGCTCGCCCTCCCTAGTTCTAGACGCTTCGCGTGTCCCCACCAGCCCACTTACAGACGATGCTCAGGCGATTTGCATTGATCAGGGAAGCGTAGGAGCGTACAGTGGAACAAAGAACGGAGCAACCGTCAAAACGAAATTTGGCATAGGCCTGAGCAGATCTAGCGGTATGTACCTTCGCGGCGTTGTCGAATGAGAGGCAGAAGAGAAAGGAGAAGGGGGAGGAAGAGCAAGAGGAGGAATAGCAAGAGGAGGAATAGCAAGTGGAGGAGGAGAAGGAGGAGGATAAGGAGGAGGAGGAGGAGGAGGAGGAGGGGAAACAGAGAGGCGAGCAGAAGGAATTTGAGTTTGACGGCACACATTTCCGCTTAATTTCTCGTTAATCCAATGCGGAAGGACGAGTGAACATGATGAGGAAGAGGAGGCAATATGACGAGGAGGATAATTACCTAACAGCGAAGACTGATAGGTTTCTAGTTGACTCAAAAGAGCTCACAGATCACTCCACAGGGGGGTCCGGGCAGGCGTTGGGAGTTGCCGGCCGGGCCTGTGCCGGGCTCGTTTTTCACCAACAGTCACACACTTCGTGCTCGTCGACCTCTCAGAACCCCATTCCCAGGCCACATTCTGAATAACCGGATGCAACAGTCACACACTTGGTGCTCCTTGACCTCCCAGAACTCCATTCCCGGGCCACATTCTGAATGCCCGGAGCCAACTGTAGGCCACTTCGTGCTCTTCGAGTTCCCAGAACTCCATTCCCGGGCCACATTTTGGATGCCCGGAGCCAACTGTAGGCCACTTCGTGGTCTTCGAGTTCCCAGAACTCCATTCCCGGGCCACATTTTGAATGCCCGGAGCCAACTGTAGGCCACTTCGTGGTCTTCGAGTTCCCAGAACTCCATTCCTGGGCATGATTTTGAATGCCCGGAGCCAACTGTAGGCCATTTCGTGTTCTTCGAGTTCCCAGAACTCCATTCCCGGGCCACACTTTGAATGCTGAGGCAGGCTGATGCTGAGGCTGAGGCAGGCTGAGGCTGAAGGCAGACTGAAGCTGAGGACGAGGCTGAAGGCAGACTGAGGCTGAGGCTGAAGCAGGCTGAGGCTGAGGCTGAGGCAGGCTGAGGCTGAGGCTGAGGCAGGCTGATGCTGAGGCAGGCTGAGGCTGAGGCTGAGGCTGATGCAGGCTGAGGCTGAGGCAGGCTGAGGCTGAGGCCGAGGCTGAAGGCAGACTGAGGCTGAGGCTGAAGCAGGCTGAGGCTGAGGCTGAGGCAGGCTGAGGCTGAGGCTGAGGCAGGCTGATGCTGAGGCAGGCTGAGGCTGAGGCTGAGGCTGATGCAGGCTGAGGCTGAGGCAGGCTGAGGCTGAGGCCTGAAGGCAGACTGAGGCTGAGGCTGAAGCAGGCTGAGGCTGAGGCTGAGGCAGGCTGAGGCTGAGGCTGAGGCAGGCTGATGCTGAGGCAGGCTGAGGCTGAGGCTGAGGCTGCAGGCTGAGGCTGAGGCAGGCTGAGGCTGAGGCCGAGGCTGAAGGCAGACTGAGGCTGAGGCTGAAGCAGGCTGAGGCTGAGGCTGAGGCAGGCTGAGGCTGAGGCTGAGGCAGGCTGATGCTGAGGCAGGCTGAGGCTGAGGCTGAGGCTGATGCAGGCCGAGGCTGAGGCAGGCTGAGGCTGAGGCCGAGGCTGAAGGCAGACTGAGGCTGAGGCTGAAGCAGGCTGAGGCTGAGGCTGAGGCAGGCTGAGGCTGAGGCTGAGGCAGGCTGATGCTGAGGCAGGCTGAGGCTGAGGCTGAGGCTGATGCAGGCTGAGGCTGAGGCAGGCTGAGGCTGAGGCCGAGGCTGAAGGCAGACTGAGGCTGAGGCTGAAGCAGGCTGAGGCTGAGGCTGAGGCAGGCTGAGGCTGAGGCTGAGGCAGGCTGATGCTGAGGCAGGCTGAGGCTGAGGCTGAGGCTGATGCAGGCTGAGGCTGAGGCAGGCTGAGGCTGAGGCCGAGGCTGAAGGCAGGCTGAGGCTGAGGCTGAAGCAGGCTGAGGCTGAGGCTGAGGCAGGCTGAGGCTGAGGCTGAGGCTGAGGCAGGCTGATGCTGAGGCAGGCTGAGGCTGAGGCCTGAGGCTGATGCAGGCTGAGGCTGAGGCAGGCTGAGGCTGAGGCCGAGGCCGACGGCAGACTGAGGCTGAGGCTGAAGCAGGCTGAGGCTGAGGCTGAGGCAGAGGCTGAGGCTGAGGCTGAGGCTGAGGCAGGCTGATGCTGAGGCAGGCTGAGGCTGAGGCTGAGGCTGATGCAGGGTGAGGCTGAGGCAGGCTGAGGCCGAGGCTGAAGGCAGACTGATGTTGAGGCTGAAGCAGGCTGAGGGCGAGGCTGAGGCAGGCTGAGGCTGAGGCAGGCTGAGGCTGAGGCTGAGGCAGGCTGAGGCCGAGGCTGAAGGCAGACTGATGTTGAGGCTGAAGCAGGCTGAGGGCGAGGCTGAGGCAGGCTGAGGCTGAGGCAGGCTGAGGCTGAGGCTGAGGCAGGCTGAGGCTGGGGCTGTGACTGCGACTGTGTTGCCACTGCGACTGCCATCGCGAATGCGACCACGACTGCGAGAACAGCAGAATTCTACAACAGGATTCTTATCTGAATCTTAAGGGGAATGCTTCCAGATATGCTCCTACACATCGCTGTTAGGTTGCTTTGCCGGGATAATTTGTTATGCAAGTGGCTTACGCCATTCCGACGACCCCCAGAAGGAGTCAGAGCTTGCGACGATCGTGGAAGTTATCGAAGACGCCTACGGCGAATCACCGCCGCCTCCTGCCTTTTTGGAAGCGCCTATGTGGCCGAACGTTGAGGCCAGACCTGCCAAGCTATCGGACCACGTGTTCCCCGAATCGGTTTGGAAAGCCTTCGGGGAACACGTGGGCATCTTGAAGGTCATCTTGGCCGTCTTGGAGGCCTCTTGGGCAAGCTTTGGGCGATCTTTGGGGCTTTTTGGGCCGTCTCGGGCCAGCTTCGAGCCAACTTCGGCCATCTTGGTGGGTTCCTGGCACGTCTGAAGCCGTCGGAAGCCGTTTGGGGGGCCTCTATGGGCCGACTTGGGGCCCGCTTGGAATGCTCCAGGGCCGTCTTGGAGGCCATCTTGGGCGTCTGGGAGGCCATCTTGGGCGTGTTGGAGGCCTCTTGGGCCCTCTTGGGGCCCTCTAGGGGCCATCTTGGAGGCCACTTGGGCCATCATGGGGCTCTCTTGGGGGCCTCTTGGGCGATCTTGGGGGCTTCTTGGGCCGTCTCGAGCCGTCGGAGAGCCGAAAAGGCGCAAATGCCAGAATCCTTCAAAAACCAAGGAAAAATCAATGATTTTGGCCTCTTCGGACTCTCCTGGAGGACCTCTTGGAGGCCTCTTGGGCCGTCTGGGAGGCCTCTGGGGGGCCTCTTGGGCCGTCTTGGGCCGTCTTGGACTCTCTTGGGCCGTTTTGGAGGCCGTCTTGGACCATCTCGGGCGGACTTGGAGGCCATCTTGGGCCATCTTCGCGATTTTTTGAGGATGTCCCGAGCGAAACGGCCGTTTTTTGGAGGATTGTTTTCCGGATTGAGGTCCTTTCGGCTTCCTCCCGGGACCCCGGCGGGACGTGCCGGAGCCCACTGGGGGAGTTCTTTTGGAAAAAGAACCAAAACCAAAACCTGAATCATCCAGCACGCCGTGCACCCCTGCAAGCAGGGGGCGGCGGATCTAGTGGCCTTCGGCACAAACCGCCACCGTACCTGGGCTGTGGCTCAGGAGCATCTTGGATGAATATGGGTGTCTCTTAGGATGCCTCTCAGGGGCTTCTTGCAGGGCTCGTGGGTGCGCTTGGGAGGCTTTGGGAAGCTTCTCGGGGGCGTATTGGAGTCCTCTTGGAGGCCTCTTGGGGCCTCTTGGGGGCGCCCGGAGGCTTCTAGGGGGCTCTTGGGGCCATCTTGGGGGAAAGGCTCCAAAATGTCGTATTCACCCTCTTGGGCTCTCTGAGGGCCCTTTTAGGGCTCTCTTGGGCCGTCTTGGGGGCTCCTGGGGCCGTCTCGGGACCCTCCTAGGTCGTCTTGGGGTTCTCTGGGGGGCCTCATCGGCGGCCTTGTGACGACCTTGGGGGTCCCTTGGGCAGTCTTCAAAGCTGTCAAGACGAAAACAGCGAGTGTGTCAACCATGCACCTTGTTCCGAGTGAACAGGGTGATTTTTGCATCTTGGCGCTTATCGGCGGTTCTTGGAACACTTTTGGGCCGCCTTGAAGGCCTTGTGGGCAGTTTTGAAGTCGTCCTGGGTCGTCGTGGGACTACTCTGGGCCGTCTCGACGCTCTCTTTGACTGTCCTGGAGCTCTGTCTGGGCCTTGTTGGCGCTTTTCGGAGGCTCAGAGGGCGCTGGGGGTGCGTTGACGATCTCGTGCCCCCCCCCCCCCTCCCCCCACACGAAATCCCGTCTGCACCCCCCACCCCGCTCCTCAACGGCGTTTTGGAACCCAGGGGGGGGGCACGCCCGCCAGACCGACCGACTCGCCCACGACGACGGCAACATCGACGGCGACGACGCCCAGCGCCGGCACACGACGAAGACGAGGACGAGGACGACGACGACGACGACGACGACGACGAAGTGTCGCACGCGCCTTTTCGCCCCGGCAAGCGGGGGACGGCTGATTTTGTACCTGCGTTGGCCCGCAGGCGTGCCAGTGCCCGCCCTGCCGTTCGGATGGCCGCGCACGGAGAGCACAGGGCGAGGAGGAGGAGGACGAGGACGAGGACGAGGACGAGGACGAGGACGAGGACGAGGACGAGGACGAGGACGAGGACGAGGACGATGGTGGTGGTGTTGGTGGTGGTGGTGGTGGTGGTGGTGGTGATGGTGATGGTGATGGTGATGGTGGTGGTGATGGTGGTGATGATGAGGAGGATGAGGATGAGGATGAGGGTGAGGAGGATGAGGATGAGGAGGATGAGGATGAGGGTGAGGATGAGGATGAGGATGAGGATGGTTATGGTGATGGTGATGGTGTTGGTGATGGTGATGAGGAGGAGGGGGAGGAGGAGGCGGAGGAGGTGGAGGAGAGGGAGGGAGAAGGTAACGGCGACGACGACGACGACGATTCGACGACCATAAAGGCTTCTGCGGACCTTTCGCTCTGGGAGACTCTTGGAAGCCTTCTCAAGCCACCTTGAGGCCCGCGTTGGGCCATTTTGAAAGCTCGTGGAGCTCTATTGGGGCCCTCTTGGAACCATCTTTGGGGTCATTCGGAGCCATCTTGCGGGGAGGGTTGCCCTTGGGGCAGGTTTTGGCCGTCTGCGCACTTTCTTGTGATCTCCGACGAGTCCCCCCCGGCGCAGGCGCTCGGACCGGCAAGTTTGGTGCGCTCGCATCACGTCCGGTGCCACGCGTGGCCCTACCCCCCGTCCCTTCCCGTCTGTGCCCGCGCGCCGAGCCGGGTGTACAGTGGAGGCCCATGCCAAGAAGCGCCTTGCTTGCCTCCAGGGTGCCTTGGGTCTCTTGGACTTCGATGGTTTTGCTGTGGACAGCGTGACGTTCCCACGCCAAGAAGCAGTTGACGCTCTGGCGTCCCAGGGTTGGGTTTCTTGTGGAAGGTTTCTTGTGGTCGAGCCCCTACTTTGGTGTCTGAGGGTCGTGCGTGGGCAGCCGCCCCGCGCATGTCCGTGGCTTTGGCCGCAGAGGGGGGGCGCGCAGAGGCGCGGGGGGCGGACCGAAGATGACCGCGCCTCGCGCAGCCTGCGGCAGGGGGGGGCGGGGTGGGGAGGTGGCGGTGAGGGAGGGGGGGAGGGCAAGCTAGGTGCTCTCGCGTCATATCTGACGTCCTACCCCTCCCTCCCATCCCTTACCATGGCGCTGATTTTCTCTATCCGCGGACGCGTGTCGTAGCGGACCTGTGGCTCCGCGCGCGCGTGCGTAGTGGGTGGTGGTGCACGTGCGTGCGTGCGTGCGTGTGTGCGTGGTTGTCGTGGTGGTGGTGGTGTGGTGGTGGTGCGTGGTGCTGTGGTGGTGGTGCTGGTACTGGTGCTGGTGCTGGTGCTGGTTGTGGTGGTGGTGGTGGTGGTGGTGGTGGTGGTGGTGGTGGTGGTGGTGGTGGTGGCGGTGCGGCGCGGTGGTGGCGGGCGGATGGGCGCGCGAGAAAAGGCCCGCGCTGGGGCGAGAACGCCATCCTGAACGACGGAGGCCAAACACCGATCCGAAAATGAGGCCCACGCTGCAGCGGGAGCACGATTCGGAACGATTCGGGAGCAGAAATGAGGCCGGCGCCTCAACGAGAGCAGCATTTTGGGAAAAAATGACGCCGGCGCCTCAGCGAGAGTCGTTTCCCGGGATTTCCCGGGGATCCTGTGTGTAAAAAACAGTACGCGGAGGGTGCGCGGCCATCACCCGGACGCCATCAGGGGAAGAGGGAGAGTATTTTCATATTGAGTAGTTGTGGGAGGAGGGGGGGGGGGGGGGGGGGGGAGGGGGAGGAAAGCTAGGCGCGCTCGCGTCATATCTGACGTCCTACCCCTCCCTCCCATCCCTTACCATGGCGCTGATTTTCTCTATCCGCGGACGCGTGTCGTAGCGGACCTGTGGCTCCGCGCGCGCGTGCGTAGTGGGTGGTGGTGCGCGTGCTTGAGTGCGTGCGTGTGTGCGTGGTTGTCGTGGTGGTGGTGGTGGTGGTGGTGGTGGTGGTGGTGGTGGTGGTCGTGGTGGTGGTGGTGGTTGTGGTGGTGCTGGTGCTGGTGCTGGTGCTGGTGCTGTTGGTGCTGGTGCTGGTGCTGGTGCTGGTGCTGGTTGTGGTGGTGGTGGTGGTGGTGGTGGTGGTGGTGGTGGCGCGGCGCGGAGGTGGCAGGCGGATGGGCGCGCGAGAAAGAGGCCCGCGCTGGGGCGAGAACGCCATCCCCAACGACGGAGGCCAAACACCGATCCGAAAATGAGGCCCACGCTGCAGCGGGAGCACGATTCGGAACGATTCGGGAGCAGAAATGAGGCCGTCGCTTCAGCGAGAGCAGCATTTTGGAAAACAATCGCAGGCGAAAACCCGTTCCCCGGGGATCCTGTGTGTAAAAAACAGTACGCGGGGGGGGTCGGATATCTTCGGGACGCCATCAGGGGAAGAGGGAGAGTATTCTCATATTATGTAATTGTAAAGGGAGGGAGGGGGGGAGAGAGGGGGGGGGAGGGAGGGAGGGAGGGGGGAGGGACGGGCGGGGGCAGCGGGTCTCGGCCTAGACGGTGTTTTGGCGATTTCGTGGACAATGCTCGTTCCGATTTCGTTTTGCGGCGCAGGTGGGACGAAGACAAGGCGAGGGACAACGAAAACAGGATGAAAACGGAAAACACCGTTTGGGTCGAGCCTTGGGGGGCAGATCCCACCCAGCGCCTGCAGCCCCGAGGAGTTCCGCGCGGCACCCGAGCCCGAGGACGAGACTTGCACCACGATGTGAGCCGTGGCGGCTTGGTCAGGGCCAGAGAAACCACCCACGCGCCGATTGGCGGGCTGGCAAAACCATGCTCGCTGCCCAGGTGCGCAGCGTAAACTTGAGTCACCCCCAGGAACGCGAAGATCATCGCGCTTCGCGCATCGGGGCCTGGGCTGGAGAGCTGCCCTTCTCCAAGGCAGCCTCGCGGGAGTGCGAAGATAACCGCGTATCGCGGGCGCGGGGCGCGATGCGCAAAGTTAGGCGACCTGGTACACAGGCCAAGCAACATATCGCGAGCAAAGTTGGAAGAAAAACAACTCCAGCCAGTCGGCTGCATCGGAAAACATATCATATCTTCTGGAAAGAATTGCCCTAACCAGGGTCGGAGGGGGTTGGCTGGCAGGGTTGGCCAGATTCTCGGGGTTTGGCCAGGAGGGTTGCGTACGAGTCTGCACATCGATTTCTGTAAGAAGGTCAACAATGTATAGCCGGAGACGTGCATACCCCTCGGCACCTCCTCGCCCGCTCGCTTGAATCGCAAGCCCCCGCAATGCGGTGGCTCAAGTCCGAGAGGCCCCAGCGCGGCGGCCCATGGACGGCCCGCCCTCGCTCTGGGCTTCCTTCGTCGCCGCCTGGAGCGCGACGATTGGCACCTGCTGGTCGTGGGGCCTAAGAGCGCCAGCGGCGCCCGCCTGGCACCCCCCTCCTCCGCCGGCCTGCGGCTCGGAGCACGATTGCCACTGCGACGCGGAGCTGAGGTGCATCAGTGGCCTCCAGGCGGAGGTCATCGGCCTCCAGGTGGAGGTCTGGGCGATGCGGTGCCTGCTCGCCGCCGCGCTGCTCGTGGGCCTGCTGCTCCTCTCTGGCGCCGGCGCGCTGGGGTTTTGGTGCGGCGCCTGCCGGTGCTGCTGCGGAGCCCGCGGCTGGGCGCCCAAATGGGGTTTCCCAGGCGGGGCGCCCGCGGCCGAGGCCGGTGCGGCGGTCCCCCTGGCCGCGGTGGCGTTCTGCGCTGGCCCTTCAACGCCGAGCCGACGCCATGGCTGATGTTCTGACACTCGACATCTCGGATCCCCAGATCCTCGCACGCTACGTGAACGACCCTGCCAGCTTCTTCTGGCACCACCGTGTGCTGCTCCTCGCGTGGACGGGTACACCTGGATTGCCCTGGTTTTGGACCGCGACCTGGTCCGAGTGAAGGTGCTGGACGTCCGGCACGAGTTGCTGGAGAGGCGGGCGCCGTTCCCCGGGCACCTGGCGAATCAGGTCTATGCCCATGACACTATGGAGGGAGCTGGGCTGGCCGCCTTCGGCGCCGAGCGAAGATGATGGGCCAGCTCCTGGGCGTTGGCCAGGTCGACGCGGCGGAGACGATGATCCGGGTCGTCGCCGAGCCGCGCTCCCCCAAGTTCGGCGAGGTCGCCGAGGCGGGGATCATGGAGGACGACGCCCGCGGCACCAGCTTCGACACTAAGGGCGCGGCGGTGGTGGATGGCGAAGATTTATTTGTGCAGGAGATCGCGGCCAGCGCCCTGACGGACTTCAAGACGACGATGAAGACTGACATGGGCGATGTCCGCACCCTCGGCGAGCACATCGATGAGGCCGGCCAGGGGAACCCGCGCTTCTCCGAGGCGGTCGCCCTGATGCGCGACATGGAGCAGGCGAGTGCCCTTTCGTTTGGCGTGAGAAGCGCGAAGGAGCCCCTGGACAGCGCGGCCTCTGGCCCGGGCAACATGGTCTCCTACCAAGCAGAGCGGGAGCGGCTCAGCGGAGTCGGCGAGGGCTCAGCGGTCAATCATGTCCGTCGGAATTTGTGCGAGGTGATCTGGCCCATGCACTCTTGGGACCAAGTCGACCACTCGATGTTGTCCTCCGCCGAGTTCATCGCCCGCTGGATGGCACAGACGGAAACCGCAGTGGAGCGGAACCCGCGGCACCCCGACTACAGCGGCCTCGGCGTCGCGACATCTGCGCCTGTGAATGCTGCGGGCCGCGCGCCCACGTCCAAGTTTAACGCTGAGGTCACCGACGGGCTCAAGGAGAGGGCCGCCATCTAGAAGCAGGAGCGCCTCTTCCGCGAGGAGCACAGGCACTCGCGCAAGGGCGGCGAGGGCAAGAGCGGCGACGGCGAGACAACGGCCGGCAAGGAGAAGAGGAAGGCGAAGGGAGGCGAGGCCAGCGCCGCGATCGGCGCCGGCGCGGACGGATGACGCTTCTCGGGACTGCGAGGGGGCAGACGCTGGCAGCCGCAGCCCAGGCGTCGAGCCTCCGCAGCCGACGGCAACGTGGGCTCGCCACCTCCAGTCCAGGAGGGGCATCAGGGCGCGCGATCGACGGCATGATGATCCCTTTCCCCTGCTTCGAAATACCCCCGCCCACGGCGATGCATGCGATGCTGCGCGGCTTCGGCAAGTTGTTGATTCGGCTTTGGCCCTGAACCAGCTTGCTGCTGCCAGCTTGAATTCACGTCGCGCCCAGGGGCGCGATCTCCCGCCTCGGGGCCACCTCCGGCCCACCGCCGTACAGCGCTGGATGTTCCAAAACGCGCCTCGGCGGGCACTGGCGCATGGAGAGCGCCCACTTGACTTCGCAGAGGGGCCACCCTTGGCGGATATCCTCGACTCGAGAGACCACTGCAGCATGGAGCCCAAGAGCTTGGCCAGCTTCGACTTCGACAGGGTCAAGATCCTGCGCGGGAAAGCCCATCTGCGCCTGATTCGTCGGGGGCTTCCGCCTGCGGCACTTGGCTACATCATGCGCTCGGCCGACTTGGTTGAGATGGGCGCAGCGGGGCTTGAGAAGGGCCGAGCCGAGGGCGCGGGCTTCTCGCCGCACTGGGACCCCGCGCCTAGGCGCTCGCGAAACCTGCGGAAGCGGCTGCAACACCACCACCGATTGGGCTTGCGAACTTGGCGCCGGCGGCTGAAGGGGCGCGCGGGCATTTTCGTGGTCGAGAAAAAGGGTGGGCCCCAGAGACTGATCATCGATGCCCGAGCGGCCAACTGGGCGCATCTGCCGCCCCCTAGATACCACCAGGCTTGGCTCCTCACTGCGCATGGCCGACTGGGCCTCTGCGACCCTCGCACGGAGGCCTCCTGCATCGGCGGCGTCGGGCCGGGCCCGCGGCTTGCCCCCTCGGGCTGGAGGGGGCGGCGGGGGGGGCTGTTTCTACCGCCGCAGTCCCCAAGCTCGCCCCGTTGCTTGGTTTCGAGGGCCGCGTCGACACCGAGGGGCTCGACAGCACGGGGCGCTGGCCGAGCGCGATCTGGGGCGACGCCGAGGGGTCCGAGACCCGGGTCGTGGATGGCGAGCGGCCCCACCCGCGCGCGGCCGCTGCGCGCGCGGGCTGGCCCAGGGCGATGCACCTCGCGAACGAGACCGTCGCCCGCCGAGTCGAGCAGCCCCTCGAGGGCGGGGCCGACCAGATCATGCGGGAGGTGCGTCCTGCGCCAGCTTTGATGCCGGCAAGTGCACGGCCTGCGCGCGCGGACAACGCGCAGGTCATCGGAGGTTGCGCGGCCGACGCTGGGAAGCAGATGCACGAGATCCAGATGAGGTATCGAGAGGATCGCATGCCCCTTTTCGACGCGGAGCCTCGCGACGATTGCGAGATGCAGTCGCTGGGCCTGGCGCGCCACTTGCGAGAGCGGCGGCTGCGACGCGTGCCTCGTCGCGTCTAGCGGGCTCGCGTGGATGGCCGCGCTCTGCCGCGCAGGCGCAAGACCAGCGGCCGCGCGCGTTCTGCGCTGCCCGCTCGGCCACGCGGCGAACCCGAACAAATTGTGCCCCGAGGGCACGTCCGCCCTGACAACCTGCCGCCGCTTCGTCGAGGAGGCCTTGGAGGCGCCGAAGCGCGCAGCCCTCGGTCAAGTCCGAGATCCGCTGCGCCATGAACCTGCCGTTCCAGATGGAGGTGGGCCTGGGGGGCCACCAACGCCAGCCAGCTGCGGCGACTCATCCACCCGCGGCTTTGCCCTCCACGCGGCGAAGGCCAAGCCCGACGAGCTGCGCGAGGCCTGGAGGCGGAGGGGGCGCTGGCGATGCTGGGAGGCCCCCATGCTGGAAGGCCAGATGACCGACGGCCTGGGCTACGCGCGGGGCGACGCGCCCGGGCCCTCGTCGGGGCCGCGGACCGCGTTCGGCCGGGGCTTTCGGAGCCAGGCCGAGGCATTCGCCAGCCCCCCTCCAGCTGCTGCGCTCGGCCGCGGCGCCCGGGGCGCCGCGCCTGGCCGCGGGTTGGACGGGGCGGCGGCGTCGCCAGCTGGTCGCGGCCGATCGCCGGCGCTGGCAGGAGGAGCACATCAACTCGAAGCAGGCGCTCGCGGGTGCATTTGAGAAGGGCCGATCCAGCGCGGGATTGCAGTCGCTGCGCAGGCGCGCAGCGACCTACCGCCTCGGAGGGCCGATCGCCCGGCGCCTCCGCTACATCGAGACGGATTGGAACCCGAGCGACCAGGGCTCGCGCTGGCGCATCGCCAAGCGGGTTGCCAAGCTCGCGCACTCGACGGGCGAGCTCGGCGACGCCTCGCCTCGCGCCCGCGCCCCTTGCGACGCGCCCGGCGGCGCGCCGAGCACGGCGGCGGAGCGGTCGGGCTTCGAGGGGGGTGGGGCGCGCAACTTCCCCCCCTCCGCTTCATCAGTCACTTCATCGGCAACTGCGCCATCTGCTCCCCGCCCCTCAGTTCAGAATTAAGTCGGGCTCGTCCCCCTACAGGGGGGCCCCAGCGAAAAATAAAAAAATGCCACAGAAAAAATCAAAACATAACCCAAAAATTATCGGATGACTATTGTTTGATTATTGTTTTGCCTTTTGGGCTATGTTTAAATTTTTTCGTTGCAAATCCCCTTGTATGGGGGGCTCGCCCGACATGAGTTCAGAACGAGCCTGGTAAGTCAGTTGTTTGTTTGTTTGGAGCTCTTCGGCGGTCTCGGTCGGCTGACTCGAGCTCGCGGGGCCGCGCGCCAAATCCATGGATCGCCAATCCATGTTTGCGCGCCCCCGATCATGTCGACGGTCACGCGAAGGCCAAGAAGCTCGACCTGCAGCCGCAGAGCCGCCTGGACTACGGCCTGGCCTTGTACTTCGCAGACCTCTTCGACGACGGCTTCGGCGTCTGGGCGGGCAGGAACACCTCCCACGGCCACAGGCCCCCGCGGCTCATGACGACCGGGGAGGTGGACTTCCCCAAGGCGCTGGCCTCCCTGAGGGTTGGGCGAAGCGCTCACCTCGCCGCGCGCGGCTGCCACTGCGCGACATCATCGTGGACGACATCGCGCTGGACCTCGCGGAGCACGACCTGCCCTTGCTGGGCGCGGCGGTGGCCATCCAGACGGACGCGCGCCTCCGGCCCTCCGAGGTGGTGGGGCTGCGACAGGGCCAGATCTTGCCGCCCGCGCCGGCCGCGAAGCTCGGCGCTCACTTTTGGCATCGCCATCGCGCCCTCCGAGCGGCGCCAGGTGACGAGGGCGGGTGGCCAGGGCGACAGCTGATCGACGACGCGCCCCGCTCCTGGCTGACGAACGCGCTGAAGCTCCCCGAGGCTGGAGGCGGCCGACTGGAGGTCAGGCGCCGCGCCGATCGTCTCGGCCGCGCGGCCTTGAAGGTTCGCCCCCAAGTTCCAAGGCATTTCGGAGCCTCGAACGACTAGGCTCGTGGCCCAAGTCCGCCCGCCCACGCGTCGCCTTCGAGTTCCCGCCCGCACTCGCTCGCAATCGGATGCATGCCGCGAAGGGCTCAGAGGCGAGATGAAAGGCCCCCCTCGTCAACATGTTTAGTTCTCTTGTGCTGCAGGACGGAGCTGCTATTGGGCAACTTTGCCACGTCGCATTTCAGAGCGAAAAGGTTGGCCAGTCCTATTCTACAGCTTCGCTGAGATGAGCATGTCTGGGCGAGGTTTCAAAGCAGTCGTGGGGCGTGGCTCTATATATCTCCAACCATGTGCGAGTTTCGCCGCGCCTGGGGGAAGTCGTGGGGCTGGTCCATTACCGTCCGGTCCAGGATGTGGGTTCGGGATTGGCGTCGGGGATCAGTGGATGTGGTTGGGGTGGGGAAGGCGCATCGTATTGATCGCACGCACTTGCGAACAGGAAAACGAACCATGAAAGTGTTGATTGCCCGCAGCCACGAGTCCCAATTCCAGATATGCCACCCGAGGAAGCATCCAAATTGCCCGTTGCAGAAGATGTTGTTATAGTGTTGTCCGTGCGTTGCAGGGAAATCATATTGCAGCACCCCGCCCCTTCGCAAACAATGCATGGGTCCACCTTTACTGTCGACAACATTGTTTCAGACAACATGCCGCACATTCTTTACGCTTCGCGTATCCCCACCAGCCCATCTCAAAACAGCAACTCTTGCGAAGCATGCCGACAGTCGTGTTTTTCAGGCTTGTGTCCGCTTGCCCCCGCATATGTCCCCTGTTCCTCCTTCCTCTCGCCTCCTTGTACATCCTCCTTGTGGTGGGAGCGGGAGAAGGACGAGGCGGAGGAGGAGGGAGAGAAAGCGGTGGGAGGCAAGAGGGATTTAGCGGAGACGACGACCACAGCGATGATCCTAACAACGACGACGCACCCGACGACGACGACGATATCGACCGCAACGACGACGACGACCACAACCGCGACGACGACGACGACGACGTCGACGACGACGACGACGACGACGAAGGCGGCGACGACGACGACGACGACGACGACGACGACGACGACGACGACTGGTGGGAGTCGTTCGGGCTCCTCGTGGTGTGAGTCGTTCGGGCCCCTCGTCCTGGTGTGAGCCGTTCGGGCTTCTCGTGGTTCGAGTCGTTCGGGCCTCTCGTCCTGGTGTGAGTCGTTCGGGCCCTTCTTCCTGGTGTGAGTCGTTCGTGCTCTTCGTGGTGTGAGTCGTTCGGGCTCTTCGTCCTGGTGTGAGTCGTTCGGGCTTCTCGTGGTGTGAGTTGTTCGGGCCCCTCGTCCTGGTGTAGGCTCTCAGGAGAGGCCCAAGTCTCTATTTTCCTCCAGCGTTGTCGTCGTTGTGATTAACCGCATGCCGATGATAATAAAGGGCCCCCCCCCCTTC